ATCTACTTTAGACTTTAAAGAATAATTAAGTTTTGTTTGATTTTTCTTTAATTATAATTTGCTAAACTTCATGAAGTAAAAAATACGTTGCTAAATTTAAGTAGTTACTTAGTTCTATGTATAATTTGATATTCCTTCTTCCAGATCTAGATTTAAGCCCAGTTAAAAAACAATTTGTAAGATAAGGTTATTTCTGAATGCATATTTTAAAATTCTAATCGGATAAAACAAACCAGTTCGCCAGATTATTTTGTAAAAGAAAAGAAGACAGTATTCAACAAATTATTTATTTTATTTTTTATTTTTAAACAAAGTTAAACGATCGATCTGTGAGTGTTATGGAAAACTGCGTTATTATTTGGAGGGAATATTTTTAGCACCTAGAAGCAAACATTTTTTTAATCTTTTTTTTTTATTTATAATTGATAAAAACCAGTGTAATCGATAATGTTTGAATGACCATTAAATGATGATAATGTTTTTATTTTATCTGACAATATGAAATAAACACGATTTATTGTTAATTTTATATTCTATTTAATTTATTTATGACGAGAAAGCGTGTTCTGTCATGTGACCATGTTGTCTTTAACAACGGAACGGTTCCTTTCAGAAGATGGTCATATCTTTTACTAAGATTCCGATACCTTTTTTTTTAATTAAAATTTTTCAGTGTAGATATTTATTTTGGAACCGTTGTCTACTCAAAGATCTTCCAAATTATGTGAAAAACCTATTGATTTATAATAATAAATTGTACCGTGCAAAGGAATCAATATTTGTTCGTGTTTTCTTAAGTACCTACGTATGTCTATAGTTGTTTTAGATTTTTTTTTTTTTTTTTACTGTTCTGTCTACCATTTCTTTATATTTCTGTTCAACTTGTGGCATTTTTCTCACTGTGGGGAAAAAGTGTTCCCTTCCCTATACCGCCCCCCTTACCTGGGGTGTGGGTCTCACAGTTCGTCTCATCTTTTTTTTTTAAGTACTTTCTTTAATAATCGTGCAAGTCTCGCAAACTCCAGTCATGTCTGTCACCCGCAAAATCTGTATTTCTAAAATCCGAGATAGCAATTCCATAAACCTAAAAACATGATAGAAGTAAACTCAACGGGGGCATTTATTTTTTATTCGCTCATCAGTTCCTTCCTGTAGATAATTTCTTTAAAAATACGTCTTTTTCTTATTTTGTACGACTTATTTCATATTTCTGACAGCATATCGAGCTCTGAATGAACGTTTAACGAGTTATGTATTTTTTTTTGTCGCTTTTTGCGTCACAGGAATTTAAGTTTCCAAAATATTAATAAAGAAAATTTCCAACAAACATAAAAAAGCTCCATTCCTTGCACTTTCTTGCAACTCATAATCGCATTATTACCCGCTATTTAAATGGTTTCTACAGAAGTACTGATTTATAGATTTTTAAAGCTGATGGCGGGGGTCATAATTAATTCGTTAATTTTTTTTATTAATAATTCCCCAATTTTTTTAAAACGTGTTTTTATTGAATTAAAAAGTCATTTTTTTTTTATGATATCCATCATCAAATTAAATTTATTTTTTCTCAAAAGTAAAACATTTTTTTTTAATTATTTGTAACTGGTTAGGTTGCAAAAAATTTAAAAAGCTGTTTTAAAAAGTGTTATTTTAACAAGTTAGGAACTTGTCTGTTAGGAAGTTGAAGTTTAGTTGTCAAATTCAATTTGGCAAATTATTTTTATTTCCACTTAGCGCCAAAAAGTCAACGATTGAACCTAATTACGCGTCAAAGCAGGATTTCAAATACTGATTATTAAGACAGCTACTGGCGCTATACAATCGTTCTGTCAGTCTCTTTATGGACAATAACGGAAACTGAGTTTTGAAAACTGTTTATTCATTGGTAAGGCATCAAGGTTATACATTGATAAATAAAAATACACCTTTTCTTTTTTCCATACATTACTATCAATTTTTTGAATTATTATTATTTTTTATTTTTTAGCCTAGAAATCTGTAGATAGAATGTGGAATGACATTTTTTTTTTGTTACTCAAGTCTACTAAACAAAACAAAACTAAAACACTAAATATCAAATCCGCACCACTATCTTTGCTCCTTCCAACTAAAACTTTTTCTCTTACATGGTAAAAGAGAAAAGTTACTCAAAACAGCCACGGCACTCCTTTTTGCCCTAAGATAAAATTTATTATACAAGAACAATATCAGATTCTATCAAAACCTTTTGAGAATGTTCTTGAAGTGGTCAAATTAGGCTGGAGAGAAATTCAGGAATTTTTTGTATTTTGTCTCTGTGTGTAGCCAACTCAAACCAATGCAACTATTGTATTCAGTTCTCTTTGGCTTAATTAAAAAAAAAGTTTCTCACTTATTTTATAATGAAATATCTATCCTCAGGCTCTTCACATCTATCTATCTATCTATCTATCTATCTATCTATCTATCTATCTATCATCTTCACATCATATCTATCTATCTATCTATCTATCTATCTATCTATCTATCTATCAATCATCTTCACATCATATCTATCTATCATCTTCATATCATATCTATCTATCTATTTATCTATCTATCTATCATCTTCATATCATATCTATCTATCTATCTATTTATCTATCTATCATCTTCACATCATATCTATCTATCATCTTCACATCTAGCTATCTATCCTCTTGTTGCCACTATTGAGTTGATAGTATGTGGTTAGTTTTATGAAGAATATTCATGTTAAAAATATTAAATGGATACAGAATTATCTTTTCCAAAACACCTAGAAATATATATTTTTTTAATCTAACATTATTTCTTATTTCTATATATAAAATTTGAGTTGACATACCTGTATTTTATTTTCTTCAACAGTGAAATTAAAATCAACCGGCCTAGATCAATAAGTTCTACTAAAGAAAAATGTACCTCCCAACTGTCATCAAACCTTTATCCTATTTTCCATCAGGGAAACTACCCACTGTAGACAAAGTATGCTGTTTGTTATCAATTTGGCCACTAGAGCCAGGTAATGGTATACTTTGGCTACAGGAGTAGCTTCCTTGATCAAAAAGAGAATAGTGGAGGGGGGATACAGTTTTCTTTAGAGGACTTCTTGATCTAGGCCGGTTGATATTAATTTCACTATTGAAGAAGAAAAAATAAAAAACAAAAAAACACAGGGATAGCAACTCATTTGAACAAGATACAAAATTCGACATTTTTTTTTTTAGCTGCATAATTCTTTCTCTGTTCATTTGTCTTCTGTTAGACAGATATATATCCCCAAATGGAAAGTTGGCCCTATAAAATCTTCTTCCTCTATTGCAGTTAGTACATTTGTTTATTTGCAAAATCTATGATAACCATGTGGCCTTTGTCATAAAATTACAATTTTCATGTTTGCAAACATGCTTGTAAAATTTACAAAATATTTATTTTTCTCAATCCCTTCATGTTTAGCTACAAGAAGACCATGAGTTCATGTTTCGCTGTAGCCTATTTTAACTACAAACCATCTTCGTTTAACAAGTGTAGCACTAAATTGAGCAACATGAAAAAAATTATAAATTCCAGAAGAGAACAAAAATGGCAGATCTGCTTGAGCTTAGGAAAACAGAGAAATAAATTACTATATTGAATCTATTGTTAGGACAGCTGCTAAGAAAGTTGGTTCACTGTGTCGTGTTAGACAGTTTTTCTCTCCAGAATCTATCTTACATATCTATAAGTCTACCTATAAGTCCATGCTTAGAATATTGCTTCCACATATGGTCCCGTACCCCTGTTCTTTACCTTTGGTTCCTTGATAAAATCTAAAGAAAAATCAGTAATATTATTGGTCCTGATCTGGCACCTCGACTTCAGTCATTTTCCTACCACCATAAGATTGCCTCTCTTTGACCTTTCTATAAGTATTTTCATTTTAATTGTTTGGATGAGCTCTTCTTTATGGTACCTAGACTATCTAAATTTAAGTGCAATATTAGATTGGCATCAAGATCTCATTTGCAGTTGAGCTGGCTAGATGTAATTGCAAATTCTATGCTAACAGTTTCTTCTGTCACACATCATGCTTGAGGAACTCCCTTTTGGCTCCATGTTTTCCAGCCAACTTTCATCCTCAAAAATTTAAATGTAATGTCAATCGTTATCTACTCTCCATTTGATTACTCTTTCCTCAATTGATACGTAAATTATCTATCTGGTACACCTGACAGCAAATTTCATAATGTCTCTGCATTTCAAGTTATATTTAAATATAGGTTTCCTAGAAGTTCATATTGTCTTGAAAACGTCTTTACTTACTTATTTGATATAGATTTCCATCACTTCAAGTATCTTCTTCCTGCTCCTTACTAATGTTTCTAGGTTCCTAATTCACCCACACACCCTGTAACCCATTGTGTCTTAGTGTCTTTACTGCCTTGCATGGGGTGAACTCGATTATAAAAAAAAAAAAATTTATAAAATGATATTTTGATTTATTTACTAAATTTTAAAATAAGTCATAATTTATGTTGATAAAATAAGTAATAGTTTAATAAACTAGTTTTATTAAAATAATAATTTACTATAAATTAGATAAGACTGTTATCATCCAGCATGTAGTTTATGAAAATATTACTTATTTAATTATTATAAATATGAATTTTATTTTAAGATAGGTAACTTATATTTAGTGTCAGAAAGAGTTAACATTTGTAAGGAACGTAATGAGGAAAGAGGGCTTAGAAAATTTGACACTCACAGGGCATATCAAAGGTAAAAGGAATAAAAGAAAAATGATGCATAACCTACCGAGTGAACTAGAGTAAATGGTTGGCAGAACTGGGATTAAGAGTTATAGCAACAAGACAAACTTTTACTAAAGAGTTATAAAGGACAGGAGAATGTAGAGAGCCATGATCACCCACATTATGAAGGGACATGACATATAGAATCTTGTGTAGATGATTGGCAGAACAGGGATTAGGAGAGAAAACAAAAAGGTAAACTTTACTAAGCACAAGAAATTGTGGAGAGCCATGATTGCCTTTGTCTGGAAGGGACATGGCAAATAGAAGAAGAAGAAGAAGAAGAATGATCTTGTGTAAAAGGTTGGCAGAAAAGGGATTAGGAGAGATAGCAAAAAAATAAACTTTACTAAAGACAGGAAATTGTGGAGAGCAATGATCGCCTTCATCTTGAAGGGACACGGCACATAGAAGAAGAAGAATGATCTTTTGTATATGGTTGGCAAAACAGGTATTAGGAGAGATATCAAAAAGACAAACTTTACTAAGATCTAAAAAGACAGGAAAGACAAAGAGAGCCATGATTGTCCTGAAGTCCTGAAGGGACACAATACACAGAATAATAATAGTTTTTTTTAATAAAATAGTTAATATATTTTCTCAAACTTTTTCCTCCGCAACCTCTTGATGTTACAATTTTTTACCCCACAATCAGATTGTGTGAATGAGTTGATGATTTTTAAGTAGAATAAATCATTGGCATAAACAATCGTTTTTAACAAAAGAAAAAAATTAAAAGCCAATAAAAAATCTGTTTATTTTCAAATTTCATACTGTTTGTCAGTCAATCTTCTCAAAATGTACCATATTGTTTCCTACACATGAAGCATATGCCATGATAAAATTTAAAATAAGTTTAGATAAAAAAATATGAAAATGATTGTAACTTTCACTTCAATTATTTTTTTAAGAATTTTTCTTTTTTAATAATTCAATGTTAAATTTTTTTATGTTAGTTTTTTTTTTATTCTAAATTTTCATCATTGTAAAAAAAAAGTGTAAAAAGAGATAATTTATTCATATTTGTATTTTTATAAATTTTTGGATAAATATAGAATTTGCTTGTTGTATAATAGCATTCAATTTTATCATAACTGCTTGCTAGTAGCATTACATGACTTTTTTATGATTAAAAAGATGGACCATATGTAGAATTAATAAGTTTTCACTGAATAAAATATTTGCGACTATAACATTTGGAGCATAGAATTTGGACACAGTTCAAAGGTCTATTTCATTAATTTTTTACAAATTGAAATAATGCTTTGAAGTTAAATTCAAAATTTTAGAGTAAAAAATTATTAGATTAAATTTCTTGATTTCCACACTTAGAAAATTAATTTTTTTAATTTGTCTGATTGAGTCATGGGGTCATCTTTTGTCTCATTTTAAATATTAGCTAAAGCTTTTCTAAAATTTGCCATGATTGTTATTAATAATATGACAACTGTAAATAGAAAATATTGATCAACTGTATGGATAGGATTTTATAATAAAAGTTGACAACATAAAAATAATCAGTTTTAGAGTATTTTTCATCCAGTTTTTTATCGAGCTAGATTCTAATATGAAAGCTGTTCAGTTTTATGGGGAAGAAAGTCTGAAGTGAAATCATAAGGTAGACTTTGCTAGGGTAGAAAAATGTCATAGGAAATAAAGTTTTAATTTTGACTTGTGATTAAGAAAAACATGCTAGAAAAAATAACCAATATCATATTATAATACTTCTTGTTTCTTCATTCATTAATGAGTTAATACATGTTATGACCTGTCATAGCTTGCCTGTTTCCATTTCCACAAATTTCAGATAAACTATATAGGCCATTAATATTTGATTGCGAGGATAGACAGAAAAAAAGATATACCAAATGCACTATATATGGTTTTAGAGAAAGAAAGAAAGGGAAGAGAGTGGAGACAATAACACACTCATTTTTTAAATGTCTGCTTCAATGAAGTGGAAAACTATCAGTTTTTAATATTTCCATTTGTACTCTTCTAAAAACTTTAGAAGGGTACAAATATTACAATAATATACAAAATTATTTATTTAAATACTTATGAATATTATTGTAATATTTTCTTAAAGTTGTTAAGGTCAAATATTAAACAGAGAATAGGTAAATTCCCACAGGTATTTTATAATCTTTCAACTCACAATTCAATCATTAACAAGAAAAGAGTCATCAGAAAATTAAAATAGGGGAATCATGAAATTTTCATGGGTATTGTTAGTTCAATTTATTCAATGTCATACATTAATAAAATAATTATTAATCTATATATATATATATATATATATATATATATATATATATTGTAGCCTCTGTCTGTCTGTTTGTTATAGAACATTTAAGGTTTTGGAGATAGACCCACATAACCATATATATATATTCTGAAACATTATCCAGGGTACTTGGATAAGTATATTTCATTTTGATCAAAGGAGTTCCCTGGAAGGCACCCCCACCCACTGAAAATTTTTTCCCTTTGATTTAAATTAAATTTAAATTTGAACAAGGGAATGGCTCTTATCCAAAATATAGAAGGAGAAAGCCAGAAGATGGAGGTCACATCAGCAAGATCATTGAATAATATTGAAATGCATTATTTTTCTCCACAAATTATCACAATCATTTGCTTACAAAAAATGTGACATGCAGCAATGTGCAGGTAATCCAGCTAGTATTTTAATAAAACATTTGCAGTAGCAGATAATGACTTATTTTATTAAGTATAGTAAAATAAAGAAATTATCTATTTTAAATAAAAGTATTATTTCTTCTCTGCTATTTCTTCCTACCCACAGGTTTAAGTTACAACAACATTTGTAGTTGAACAAGTTCAGTATATCTACTCAAAACCAAAAGAGGATAATATTCAATTCCCCAGTGTTGATGTTAACCATGCAATGGTATGACTAGACTTTTGTTGTAACATTTTAAATGGTGGTTTCGGTTGCATGACTACAGGTTTCTGAATCAGAAATGGCTACTGTGACTCTGAATGTAAAATGGCTGATATATGTTAGGTTTTGTTTGAATCATTGCTGTAAATTGTACTTATAATATTCAGCCACTTTAAACTTTATTTATTGCTGAAACAGAATCTTTAATTTTAGTTTTAAAAAAATATGAACATATTCGGTAACTCAGTTCAAATTATCTGATTTTTAAAACATAATATTTCTATTTTGAATAAAAACAGCTTTTGGCAACAAAATAAAAGAATTGAATTTTAAATTAGTTTCAAATTAATGAATGTTTTCATGTTCTGAATAAAGGTCAGTGTTCAAGAGTAACTGATGGCAAATGCTTTTGTTTTTTAGCTAATAACAGAATGTCTGAATAAAATATCAAAAGCAATATGATATTTTGTCATGGAGAACGAAATGGTTAGTGGAAAAACTCAACAATTTCATTTAGGCTATATTTTTTTAATAAAATAAGTAAAATTTTAATTTATTTTATTTTATTTTAATAAGCTATATATATAGTAATGAGTTTTGAGTAAACTACAGGGTGGTTCAAAAGTCTTGTCACTCCCACATAATATAATTTTCTATTTCAGATGGCTGATATGAGTTCCTACAAATTGGAAAAGAGGTGGGAGGTGGGGATTTGACAAAACTTTTGGACCACCCTGTACTGCATTAAAATATTACTTTATTTATTTATTAAATTTTAATATAAATGAAACAAGGCTGTTAGTGTTATTGTTGACATTTATTTTATTAAAATATTATTTTATTAAAATATATTAAAGAAATTAATACCTTTTTTATCAAAATATATTAAATTAAAATATTACAAATTTTATTAAAATATTATTTATTTTAATTTAGACATATTTTTTTCTTTTTGACCTTTTTTCTTATCCACAAGCAGAATTCCTTTTTTTGTATTCTAACAAAGTGTAGCTAAAGACTGCCATTACTTTTTCTGGTCACTAATGATTGATAAGAATTTACTTGAGAAATTCTAATTTAAATGTATATCTATATGTAGAAGAGTAAGAAGTGAATGTATGACTTCATGCTTTTTCTCTTGGATATGATTATAAGCAGAAAACAGAAAAACATGGACAATTTCAAAAGTATACTAAAGTATTTTTGACCAATTTACTTGTTTTCTTCAAAAGTATTGTGTAATTTCTGCCTGGATTTCTTAAATGAGAAATTATCCTTATTTACCCTAGGACTAATATCCACATCTTTTTTATTATCACAAAGTTTGACAGACATCTGAAGAAAACTAAAGGGCACCTCTAGCATTCTTCAGATGTCTGTCAAACCTTCTAGGAATTTTGAACTTTGCCCTTTACTTTAATTTACAGAGAGAGATTATTTTTATTCTGTTTTCCATGTCTAGGGATATCTTGGCTTTTTCTAATTTACCTAGCCCTCAATTAACTAGCCCACCTTCTTCTTCACTGAGTATAAGTCTGTATTATCAGTGATCGAACTTGTAGTTACTAGGTCAACTAACAGTTTAATCCACTAGTCTATTGTCCCGAAGAAGGCTGGAGAGCACAATGACCAAAATCTTGTGATAATAATAACAAAGATGAGGATATTAGTTTGAATGTAAATAATGATGTGTTATTTACATTCAGATGATTGTCTTTATCTTGGTTATTATGAAAATGTTTCAGCCATTGTGCCCTCCAATCTTTATGAGGTGCTTGCTGATCTGGTTAAACTTCAGGAAATCTTGAACTAAACCCTTTTTATTTAATATAGTTGTTTGATTTAAGGGATTATAGCATTGGTAATTTGGTGAGATAGTAATTGTGAGTTCAATCTCTGGGATAGGTAGTAGAGACTTAGACCCTGTGGAAACAGAGTGAACAGTAACTGTGCTAAATGAGAAAAAAACTAGATATGCCCTGATATGGACAGTGGAATGAGAACAATCTACCCACATAGATTAAATAATGGCTTCTCTGAAGATTACTCAGATCAACAAACATCTGAGGAAAACTAGAGCAGGGGCACAACTGCCAAAACATTGGGATAATAACAACAAAGATGAGGATATTAGTCTGAATGTAAATAATAACACATCCCAGAAATTGAAACAAAAATGATATTGTGTCTTATGGCTGTATGACATTGAAACACCAGTTTTTGTATGGTCTCCAAAGTTAAGCAACATTGAGCCTGGTCAGTACCTAGATGGGTGACTGCTTAGGAATACCAGGTAATGTAAGCTTGTATGTATGGATGGTGTAATAGATAATCAATTGGAATTGTTAATTAGAGAGCCAAGTTCCAATTCCAGTTGGATTCATTATATTCACTTACATGCAAATACTTTTGGGAAAGGTATGAATCAACCTCTTCTCACCCCAGCTATGGGTTAATTAGGAAGACTTATTACTAAATCATTATTATCTCTAAAAAAATATTTTCTGGCATTAAATAACTTGCAAATGGTTGATAAGCTGTAGGAAATGACTGAATCAATCGGAAATGGAATTGTATATTCATTTGGAAGTTATAAATCACTAAAGAGAAATAGATTTCAGTTGCTGATTTCATGAATCTAACAACTAAAATTCTGATAATTCTTTAGATCTGGTTTATTCTCATGAATTTTTCTATTTTTTAGTATTATTGTTATATTGATAGTGTTAACATTATTATAAGTAGTAAAAAAACCCTAAAAAACACTGGCTTTGAGCTGGTTTGCTGTCTGTTTCATAGCTATAATTGTCTCTATCAAAGATTGAATTAATTAAAAAAAAAAGTAAGGACAGAAAAACTAAAACTAGTGATTATCTGAAATAAATTTTAATCAGCAATTTCTAAGAGATGAGCTTAAATTGACTTTTTGAGCTTCACATGCAATGGTTGTGCCTGGATTAATTTTATAAGCTAAGCAGCTTGAAGAATGACACAAATTACATAGTGTGAGAAAATGACATGGTGACAGGAAGTAAGTCTGGTAAACCAATTCCACTCTGACCTTTTGTTTTTTTTTTGTTTTTTTTAATTTTTTTTATGAATTGAAAGAACAATTGTGAAATGAACACAGGAATTAGAGGGAGAAGAAGTGGTAAGAGAAGAATGCTAAAAAAAAATGCCAACCATTGGAAGCTTCAAGAAATTTAGAAGAGGTAATTCTTTACAAGAGACTCTTGAACTGAGAATTCCTGGAAACGGAATGTGTGTCTGAAGAAAAGGAAAAGACAAAATTATTATTTTTTTTTTTTAGTTAAAAATAAAATCTAAAAAAAAAAAAGATTAATGAATATTTCATATTAGACATTTTTGTGATAAGAAAAATCTTTGAAAACATCATGGAAGAAAAGTCATAACTTTGGTTTGTGTGTATATGATGCATGTCATGAAAAAAGAAAAAAGTAATATTTTAATTTATGAAATCTTTGATGAGTAATATTTAGTTTATTTTAGTGCTTAGAACATTTATATTTGACTATGAGACCCAGATTGGAATCTTGAAACGGTCAATTTGTTTTGATGTTATTGGTTTGAGGAGGCAATCTCAGTGTGTGGCACCTTTGGAAAGTGCCTGAAAACTACATCATGTGTTGACTAGATCCTTGTCAGTGAAATAGACTAAATGGAATTATGAGGATGCTGTTGTGTGAGCAGAAAGTTAAAAGTCTTTATCTTTATCGTGCCCCTCCACCATCATTCCTTTATATTGCCTTGGTAAAATATATGTTCCACTCAAGCAGCTTCAACTCATGAACCACTGCCTTGTGGAACTGACTCCCAAGAGGTTGCTTCTCTGATCACTACAATATTAACCTTTTCAAGTCTAGTGTTAACTGTCATCTTTTGCACATATCCACATAAGCTGTGCCTCTTATTCTGTAACCCTCTACCTCGAGTGGCCCCAGTGAACACTAGTATAAAAAAAAAAAAGTCATCATGACCGAGGGCATGTGCATCCTGGTGTTGTTCAAACCACATGAAATTGAACAACAAATGTGCCCGAGCAGGTGTTTGCAACAGGGAGTGGCTAGCTACCCTAGCAGACGTGTGTGCTAGTTTATAAAAATATTAGTTATAAATTTCTGTGACTTTTATCCACTGGGGTAAATTGTTCTAGTTCCATGTGCCATGTCTCTTCTCAGTTATTTCCCTTTAACTCAACTCTCCAAGGTTTTTTCCTTAAGGACACATGGCCCAGTGGATAAAGATGTTGATAAAATCCAGTGACTAGACCCAAAGAGGTGTGAGTTCAATACCAGGCTACAACAGTTGTGAACCAAAAACACTTGCGGAGTTGAGTTAAAGGACAATAACTGAGACATCCAGAAGAGGCATGGCATGTGAAACTAGAACAATCTACCTCAGTGGACGAAATATAGGGTTTGGTTTGAAATTTCAATCACCTGACAAAGTCTGGAGCGTACATCGGCTGAAATGTGAATATAGCAATGAAGATGAGGATAACAGTCTGATTAATGTATTGGATATGTATTTAATAATAGTAGATGGTAGCAATAGACATTATGACAATAATCTTTGTAATAGGATAAAATATTAATTTTTCTAATGATTAATATGTGTAGGTTGTTTTATTTGGGTTGCTTGACGAATGAAACATTAAAAGTTATACATACCTTTTTGCAATCAATTCATGACTATAAACAACACCAGATGACAATCCTTGAAGTAAACAATAACAAAGGAAAGACATTAGAAACAATTTGTGAGGTTCATATTTATTTGTGGTAAAAATTTTGATAAAGAAGAAAATTATTTTTAACTCTCGTTAAATAATTTGTTGTATGTTTATGTACCATTCCTTCATTCAAATAAACAATTCTAAATTAATCCTAGGGCGCCTCAAATTTTTCCAATTCAAACAGACTTAACAGATTCTTAAAAAATTTCACCCAGCCCACTTATTTCAAATTTCACTTTTATTCAAAGCACATTAGTAGTTAAGTATATGTGTAAGAGTGTCCCAATAAAAATTTGACCTTGTGTCATTGGTAAGTGGATGAATACTCTTATAAACTAACTTGATATACACTATAGAATGTAACTAAACAATATTTGTTATTAATTTCTGTTGTGGCATTATATTACTCTTGAGACATTTTCGTTCCAATTCTCAAGATCGTCGTATTTTAAAAGTGCCGTGCTTATTGAAGGTTTTATGAACTTGATATAAAAATTTATTGGATTTAAAGAGCCTGGTTTATTGAAGGTCTTATGAACTTATAAAAAAATACATTGGATCTAAAGAGTAGGGCTTATTGAAGGTCTTATGAACTTATTAATGAAAAAAATTCATTGGATCTAAAGAGTAGGGTTTATTGAAGGTCTCATGAACTCATTAATAAAAAATATAAAAAGTATACATTGGATCTAAATAAAAATACATTGGATCTAAAAGAGTAGGGTTTATTGAAGGTCTCATGAACTCATTTATAAAAATACATTGATCTAAAGTCTCATGAACTCATTAATATAAAAAATACATTGGATCTAAAGAACTCATTATTATAAAAAAATACATTGGATCTAAAGAGTAGGGTTTATTGAAGGTCTCATGAACTCATTATTATAAAAATACATTGGATCTAAAGAGTAGGGTTTATTTATTTAAGGTCTTATGAACTCATTATTATAAAAAAATACATTGGATCTAAAGAGTAGGGTTTATTGAAGGTCTTATGAACTCATTAATATAAAAAAATACATTGGATCTAAAGAGTAGGGTTTATTGGATCTCATGAACTCATTAATATAAAAATACATTGGATTGAAAGGTTTATTAAAGGTCTTATGAAACTCATTAATATAAAAATACATTGGATCTAAAGAGTAGGTTTATTGTCTTGAACTCATTAAATAAAAATACATTGGATCTTTATTAATATAAAATACATTGGATCTAAAGGTCTTATTGAACTCATTAATATAAAAATACATTGGATCTAAAGAGTAGGGTTTATTGAAGGTCCTCATGAACTCATTAATATAAAAAACATACAAAATTGGATCTTTTTAGAAGGTCTCATGAACTCATTTATTAAAATACATTGGATCTAAAAGAGGGAACTCATTAATATAAAAATACATTGGATCTAAAGAGTAGGGTTTATTGAAGGTCTCATGAACTCATTAATATAAAAATACATTGGATCTAAAGAGTAAGGTTTATTGAAGGTCTCATGAACTCATTAATATAAAAATACATTGGATCTAAAGAGTAGGGTTTATTGAAGGTCTCATGAACTCATTAATATAAAAATACATTGGATCTAAAGAGTAGGGTTTATTAAAGGTCTTATGAACTCATTAATATAAAAATACATTGGATCTAAAGAGTAGGGTTTATTAAAGGTCTTATGAACTCATTAATATAAAAATACATTGGATCTAAAGAGTAAGGTTTATTGAAGGTCTCATGAACTCATTAATATAAAATACATCATTAATATAAAAACTCATTAATATAAAAATACATTGGATCTAAAGAGTAGGGTTTATTGAAGGAACTCATTAATATAAAAATACTCATTAATATAAAAATTTATTGGATCTAAATAAAACTACATTGGATCTAAAGTAGGTTTATTGAAGGTCTCATGAACTCATTAATATAAAAAATACATTGGATCTAAAGAGTAGGGTTTATTGAAGGTCTCAAACTCATTAATATAAAAATACATTGGATCTAAAAAGAGTAAGAAAGGTCTCATGAACTCATTAATATAAAAATACATTGGATCTAAAGAGTAGGGTTTATTGAAGGTCTCATGAACTCATTAATATAAAAATACATTGGATCTAAAGAGTAAGGTTTATTGAAGGTCTAAAGGCAATATAAAAATACATTGGATCTAAAGAGTAGGGTTTATTGAAGGTCTCATGAACTCATTAATATAAAAATACATTGGATCTAAAGAGTAGGGTTTATTGAAGGTCTCATGAACTCATTAATATAAAAATACATTGGATCTAAAGATAATATGAAGGTCTGATGAAAAATAAAATACATTGGATCTAAAGAGTAAGGTTTATTGAAGGTTCATGAACTCATTAATATAAAAACTCATTAATTATAAAAATATAAAAATACATTGGATCTAAAGAGTAGGGTTTATTGAAGGTCTCATCATTAATATAAAAATACATTGGATCTAAAGAGTAGGGTTTATTAAAGGTCTCATGAACTCATTAATATAAAAAATACATTGGATCTAAAGAGTAAGGTTT